CGAGTACCCAGGGGACCGGGTGGGTGCTCGCCCGCTTCTAGGACGTGGGCTGCGGCTTGTAGGGCTTCCTCCGTAGAGGCGAAGACTTGTTGGGCGCCCAGGGCTCCAGAAACATCCAGAAGCGTGGCACAGAGGTCCGAGAGCAGCAGCGCGTCGTCTCCACCATGATACAGGGCGAGCGCGTGCGCGTACGCGAACAGCACGTTGGGCAGCTGGAAGCGCACGAGTGGCGACACGGGGCCGCGGCTCAGGCTAGCCAGCGCGGGGATGCGGGCGGGCCCTGCGGGCGGGCGGGCCCCCGGGCCCTCTCCAGGAGCCGGCTCCTCGGCGGTGGCATCCTTCCCGGACTCGGGCGCCGCGGGCGCGCCATCCAGCTCTTCCAGAAGCCGCGGCGCGGCCCCGCGGCTCCACCACCACGGCCGCCAGGGAGGAAGCAGCCGGCCGGCCTCGCCGCGGCTCAGCAGCCGCTCGAAGGCCGCCTTCTCGGCGGGCGCCAGCTGTTCCCAGAGTCCCGAGAGGCCTCCGGGAGCCGAGGCTGAGCGTGGGCCTGCCGCCTCGAGCTCGTCCTCCGTCTCGCGTTGCTCCCGCAGCCGGCGGAGGGCGCCGGCCAGGCGGCTGGGCGAGGCGTTGCGGCCGCGGAGCTCTCCCAGCACCTGGTCGCGGTAGAAGCCCTCGGCACAGGCGCCATGCGCCCGGTAGCAGCGCAGCGAGCAGTAGGGCACGTTGCAGCGAGGGCAGGTGTAGCGCGCTGGCTGGGCCGCCCCGGCCGGACAAAAACCGCAGGGCCCGCCCGGCTCCATGGCAACAGGAGCAGCGCGGTGGGAGCGGGCGCACACACGCCGCGGCTCAGCCACTTCCGGCACCGCGAAGGTACTTCCGCTCCTTCAGTGGCCCAATAATGGGGCATGAACTCGGCAAACATCGCGAGGCTTCCCCGCAATTCCCGCCCATACCCGGAAGTCAAGCAGTGCGTCGACATAAGAACACCAGCCAGCAGGAATCAGTGTGCACGCTAATACTCTGGGCACACGGCGCCGCAGGTGTTTGGAGGATGAGTTCCCCGCGCTGTAGAGCAGCCATTGTCTAGTAGAGAATATAGACAAAATTAAGGGGCAGTTCGAGGGCTGGGAATGTGGGTTAGTGGTAGAGCACTAGCCTCGCATGCATGAAGCCCTGGGTTCGATTCCTCAGCACCGCATAAACAGGAAAAAGCCGGAAATGGTGCTGTGGCTCAAATGCTAGAGCACAAGCCTTGAGTTCAAGCTCCAGAACTGGAAAAAAAAAAAAAAAAAGGAATGCTGGGTCCTGGTGGCTCACGCCAGTAATCCTACCTACTCAGGAGGCTGAGATCTGAGGGTCATGGTTCAAAGCCAGCCCGGGCAGGAAAGTCCGTGAGACTATCTCCAATAAACCACCAGAAAACCAGAAGTGGCGCTGTGACTCAAGTGTTAGAGCGTTCACTTGAGGTGCAGTGAAGACAATGAACCAAGCCAGGCGCGGGTGGCTCACGCCTGTAATCTTACTCAGGAGCCTGAGATCTGAGGACCGTGGTTCAAAGCCATACTGAACAGGAAAGGAAAATCCCTGAGATTCTTATCAACAATTCCCAGAGAACCAGAAATGGTACTGAGGCTCAGTACCATGGTAGAGTGCTAGCGTTATGCAAAAAAAACTTAGGGACAATGCCTAGGCCCTGAGTGCAAGCCCCACAGACCCCACTCCCCCCCATGATAATGAGCCACAAACAACTCTGCTAAGTACCATTAAGTGTGTTTATTCATTGCATCTAATTATGTAAGTCCTGTACTTGGACTCCTTGAGTACTCAAGTACCTGGTACTTGGACTCTGAACACATCCAACCCCACATTTGCATTTATCTTGATATAGATCATCTCTTTCCCTACTGAAATCAAATGGCTTTGAAGACCATCTTTATATCCCCCAGGAATGGCCCCCTTTATCTAGATTTTATGCCTTTGCCTCTTTTTCTTTCTAACCATCCAGAAACATTAGATCACAAGGTTGGAAGTTATTTGATGGTATAGGGATTGCCTAGTCTGTTTATAGGTCAGTTTGATTCCCAGCACCAAAAAGAAAAAAAAAATTAGATTATGTCAGATCACATTAGTCTCTCCCAAATCCTTTTCATAACTCTTGTGCAATTGGACATTGGACTTTGCCCCTGCTGTTGTGTAAATGTGTTCAGGGACACTAATATTGAGACAAGCATAGCTGCAATGGCACCCACCTGTAACTCCAGCACTTAGGTAACCAAGGCAAAAGGATCTCAAGTTGGAAGACAGGCCAGCCTAGGCTACACATAAATAGGAAGGAGCCAGCGCCGGTAGCTCATGCCTGTAATCCTAGCTACTCAGGAGGCTGAGATCTGAGGATCGCCATTCAAAGCCAGTCAGGGCAGGAAAATCTGTGAGACTCTTATTTCCAATAAACTACTAGAAAACCGGAAGTGGCGCTGTGGCTCAAGTGGTCGAGCGCTCGAGTTGAGCTGAAGAGCATGGGGACAGCGCCCAAGCCCAGAGTTTAAGGCCCACGACCGACAAAAAAAAAAGGAAAGAAGGAAAGGGAAGGAGGGAGGAATGGAGGGAGGGACTAAAGGAGCAAGGCGGGAAGAAGGGGAAGAGGAGGGTGTAATAGAACATACAGGAAACAAGAAACCCCCACAAATTCTCATATAGAAACAATCTTATTGAGAGGGGGAAGAAGGGGAAGAGGAGGGTGTAATAGAACATACAGGAAACAAGAAACCCCCACAAATTCTCATATAGAAACAATCTTATTGAGAGGTGGTTCTGCCCATTAATGGATTAATGGTTTGTCTGGAGGGTCTGTTAAGTAACTAAGCCAAAATAAAGCTTTTCCTTAAAATATTCAGAGCAACAGAAAATGGACTAAGACAAATCACTGACAAGATCATACAGGTATTGTACCCACTCCAAACATCACTTTTGTTCCCTTTGCAATTCCTTTTTTTTTTTTTTGTCGGTCATGGGGCCTGAACTCTGGGCCTGGGCACTGTCCTTCAGCTCTTCAGCTCAAGGCTAGCACTCTACCACTTGAGCCACAGCACCACTTCTGGCTTTTTCTGCTTATGTGGTGCTAAGGAATTGAACCCAGGGCTTCATGTATGCAAGGCAGGCACTCTTACTACTAAGCCACCTTCCCAGCCCTGCAATTCCTTCTCTAGGTAATGTATGATTGGGTGTTTTGGGTTTTTTGGGTCCGGTCGTGGGGCCTGAACTCTGGGCCTGGGCACTGTCCCTTAGCTCTTCAGCTCAAGGCTAGCACTCTACCACTTGAGCACAGCACCACTTCCAGCTTTTTTTCTTTTTGCTTATGTGGTGCTGAGGAATCAAACCCAGGGCCTCAGGCATGCAAGGCAAGTGCTCTACCACTGAGCCACCTTCCCAGCCCCTGGGGTGGCTTTTTTAAAATCAAGTTTTATCCTTAGTGGCTTCTCCTTGAAAAGAAAGCCAATCCAAAACTCTGCTTTATGTACTTGAGGCCCAAAACTTTCATCTAGTTTTTTCTTTCCCTTACCAAAAAAAAAAAAGGTAAACAGCCAGGCAACAGTGGCTCACACCTGTAATCCTAGCTACTCAGGAGGATGCCAGCCTGGGGCAGAAAAGAACCCATGAGACTCATCTCCAATTAACCACACAGAAAAAGAAGTGCAGCTGTGACTCAAAGTGGTGATGTCCTTGCCTTGAGCGGAAGAGCTCAGAGACAGTGCCCAGTCCAAGTTCAATGCCTCACGACCAAAAAAAAAAAAAAAAAGAAAGCAAGACTTGAGTGGGGTTAAGTGCTAGCCCAGTGAGGTTGAGATAGAGTTCAAACTCAACCTTCCTCACAAAAAGTTAGGAGCAATCCTTTTTTTTTTTCTTTTAACACTATGAAAACCAGGGCTGGGAATGTGGCTTAGTGGTAGAGTGCTCACCTAGCATGCATGAAGCCCTGGGTTCGATTCCTCACTACCACATAATTAGAAAAAAGCCAGAAGTAGCACTGTAGCTCAAGTGGAAGAGTACTAGCTTTCAACAGAAGCTCAGGGACAGTGCTCAGGGCCTGAGTTCATGCCCCCCAGGACTGGCAAAAAATAAGTTAGCCAATACTTGCATACATCTGCACTGTGCTAAGTGCTTACCCAAGCATTTTACATACTTTAATCCTCAAATGGCAGACAGGTTTAGTGGTTCAAGGTGAGAGCCAGACAAAAGCAAAACATGGAGGCTCTAAACTCAGCAATTCAAGTCCAGAGCCTAAAGGCTTTTGTTAACTTTAGTATATTGCATCCCAAGAACCAGCAGATTCATTAACATTACATGACAATATATGAAGTTCAAATATGCCGCTAGGGAGGAACCATAAACCAATCAATGACTCTGTCCAGGACTGTGATTAGGTTACCAAGGCCAGATATTTATTTATTTTAGTTTTTATTTTTTGTCAGTTGTGGGCCTGAACTCTGGGCCTGGGTGCTGTCCATCAGCTCTTCAGCTCAAGGCTGAAGAGCTTCAGCTCTACCACTTGAGCCACAGTGCCACTTCTGGCTTTTTCTGTGTATGTGGTACTGAGGAATTGAACCTAGGGCCTCATGCATGCCAGGCAAGCACTCTACCACTGAGCCACCTTCCCAGCCCAGGGCCACATATTTACAAGTGCAAACAATGGCATCCCTCACCTGTGTGCCAGTGTAATGAAGTGACAGAAGAGGCATACCATGTTCCTGTGTAACACACATCCACCCAAATCCACTTTGCTCCCAAACCAGCCTTTACTCCAAGACTATTTTCTTTGGCAAGAAGATAAAAAGGACTTGGGGACAAAGTTGCTTAGGATGGGGATAACCCCACCTCTACTGATGTCCATTTCCCTCAAATCTAAGGGTTTTTGTCTCATTGTTCTAGGGAACACACCGCCAGCCTAGAAACATACATACCTCCCTTTACCCCATGGCTCTGCAAATAAAGATAAAACAAGCTGCATGGGCGAAGTAGCTTTATTACAGAAAGCCAAGATTACATGGGACTTAAGAGTTTGCATTGGGGCCCTTCTTCTTGCCAAAGGTGGGCACAACATTGACAAAGCGTCGGTTGTACTGCATCCGCCTCTTGGCCCGGCCAGTCTTCTTCTTCTTCTTCTCCTGTTTGGCCACCTGGCAAAAGGAAGGATGGATTAGACCTCGGGTGACTTCTGCTATGCTAGGATCCTTTCCCTCAGACTCCCTTTCCCAAGAAGGGAAAAAGTATACACATACAGGAGACCAAAGTCTTACTATTTTGAAAGAAAAACACAAAATTCAAATAATCCACTCACCTTGGGAGTCTGACCTCTCACTTTTCCAGCACGGGCCAAGGATCCATGGACTTTACCTATGGTGGGGAAAGTGGAAATCCACAAGAGTCAAGCCACCACCCAACATAATCACTTTCCTCATCTCAGACTTCTAAAGACAAAAGTCTGGTAAGGGACTGAGGCGCAGTTACACTCTGGTTTAGTCTGGCCTGGAAAATACTCTGCTCTACCACCAGACATTGAGCAACGAAATGTTTTCATACACCAGGAATTTCCAAGAAAAGAAAACCAAAACACTCCTTCCCCACGCACCTCCAAGCAGGCGGCCGACTATCTGTAGGGTAGCCAGGGCCCCCACCCCACACTGGCCGAGGGTAGCGTCATCCTCCAGTGGCGTGCCTGCCAGGAGCAGGACCTGATCTTCCGGGACGATACCCTCCAGGGAGGCCACACGAGCCTACAAGCCAAGACACAGAGATAAATAGGTAAATAAAGAACTATTCCGAGTCTCTTCGCGGGGCAGCAGGGCGGGCACGGGCGACGGAGTACCGCGAGCAGGGCGCACGAACCTTGATCTGAGCGATCGTCTCCTGGCCGGTCACCTCAAGGGTGTGGAGCTCCTGGGCGCGGACAAACAGCTGCATATTGGCGACTACGAAAATAAAAAAAGAAGGCTGTGAAAGAAGGGAAAAAGTGCCCGGGGAGGAAGCGGAGGTCGACCCGTCGGGGGCGAGGGAGACGCGGGGGCCTCACGTGTGGAACGCCGGGCCCACGGGGAGGTCCAGAAAGGCCAGAGCCACAAAGGACCCCTTCTTCCTTGATCTCCCCAACGCCCTCGGACCCACCCCGCGGCCAGCCAGCTACCAAAGCCCTCCAGATCCACCCGCCGTACAAGTCTTACCAGAACCCCGGGACCAGCGGCCGCTACCGTGAAGATGGAGTCGAGAAAGAGGAAGGAGCGCGGTGCGCAGGCGTGCTGAGGGCCGGTTGCGTAGCTCGTCACTGCGGAGCGACTGTACGGCCCCCTCTATTTGTACCGCCCACTGCCGTTCTGGCCCCGCCCCTTTACGCTTCGCGCTGGCGTTCTCTCGCCTCGGGCGCGGCCCTCGGGAAGGGTGGGGCCAAGCCGGTTGCGCGCGCAGAAAGATAGCAAAAGGCTGGGGCAGTCCAAGATGGCGGCGGCCATGGTCCGGTCTGTGCTCTGGGTCTGGAGAAGAACCGACATCCAGCGAGGCTGCGGACTAAGGCAGCTGGTGAGAACGCGCGGCTCGGAGCTGATGATGGCAGAGGGCTCTCAGTTACTATTGCAGTTTCTAAATCCACGTCCTTTCATGGTGGTGGTGGGGGCTTCGTCTTCTTATTTGGCTCACTTATCTCCAGAGCAGCGCCCAGAGTGGGAGGCCACAAGGGGACAGCCTTGGGACAGACACTTGGGGAGTGCGGTGTGGAAATGTAGCTGCAGCAGGACAGCCTGGGTGGGTCAGAACTGAAGAGAGTTATTGACGTTCTCTGGCTGGGGGGGGATGAGAGAATTAGGAATGGTTTAAGGGCCGAATGCAGAACTAGAAAGTTTCCATAGAATGCTCAGAGGAAAACCTTTAAATGAAAAATGACCACACTGGGGTGTGTGTGTGTGTGTGTGTGTGTGTGTGTGTGTGTGTGTGTAATGAAAAATGACCACACTGTGGTGTGTGTGTGTGTGTAATGAAAAATGACCACACTGTGGGGTGTGTGTGTGTGTGTGTGTGTGTGTGTGTGTGTGTCCCTTGTCTACCTCTACATAGGGAAAATTAACAAAGAGATGGTTTGTTGTCTCAGAGCCAGAAGCCTCCTGATTACCCCAGCTTTGTGGAGTCTGCAGATGAGTACCGGTTTGTGGAGCGCCTCTTACCCCCTACCAACATCCCACAGCCCCCCAAACATGAACATTATCCCACACCTAGTGGCTGGCAGCCTCCCCGAGGTAAGCTGGGTAATGGGGATAGTTTGAAGGAGGGGCATTCTCTTCCTCAGTTTTCAGCCTGTCCTTACTGAGTCTTTAGAAACTATCGTGAATCCTGTACCCATATTGAGATCTCTCTTTAAAAAAAATTATTGTTAAGAGGTGGTATACAGCGGGGTTACCTTTACATACCTCAGGTAATAAGTATATTTTCTTCCTTTTACATAGTATCATCTGTTCCCTCATTCTCTCCCCTTCCCTCCCTTCCATATCTGCGCACGAGTTGCATGGTTTACTCTCATCAATGTCCAGTGGGCTCTGCTGCTGCACTTTTTCCACCTGTGTTCTACTGTCCCCTCCCCCCACCTTCCCTCAGTTGTGCACATGTATACACTGTATATACGAGGTAAAAAATACAGAGTCAGCCTGGTGCTGGTGGCTCAGGCCTGTATTTAGGAGGCTGAGATCTGAGGATCTTGGTTCGGAGCCAGCCTGGGCAGGAAAGTCCGTGAGACGTTTATCTCCCAATAAACCACCAGAAAACTGGAAGTGATGCTCTGGCTCAAATGGTAGAGCACTTGCCTTGAGCTTAAGAGCTGAGGGACAGTGCTGAGGCCCAGAGTTCAAGCCCAACAACCAACAACAACAACAAAAAAATACAGAGTCAAGCTGGGAATATGGCTTAGTGGTAGAGTGCTTGCCAGCATGCATGAAGCCCATCCTGAGTTTGATTCCTCAGTACCACATAAACAGAAAAAGCCAGAAGTGGTGCTGTGGCTCTAGTGGTAGAGTGCTAGCCCTGAGCAGAAAGAAGCTCAGGTCAGTGTCCAAGCTTTTGAGTTTAAGCCCCAGAACTGGCAAAAAAAAAGGGGGGGGCTGGGAAGGTGGCTCAGTGGTAGAGTACTTGCCTTGCATGCGTGAGGCCCTGGGTTTGATTCCTCAGCACCACATAAGCAGAAAAAGCCGGAACTGGCACTGTGGCTCAAGTGGTAGAGCACTAGTCTTTTTTTTTTTTTAATTTTATTTTTTTTTATTTGTGAACATACTGTACAGAGGGGTTACAATTGCATGGGCAGGATAATGCGTACATTTCTTACCAAGCATTGCAGCCTCCTCC